GGGGGGCGAGCTCCCTCCCACCTCCCTCTTGGGGGCGGGTTTCCACATCGCGGCTGGCCGGCGGGGCCCAGGTCCGGGAACTTAACCAAACCCAGGGTCCGGCCTCAGGTGCCCCCCAGGCCCCAGGAGCTCCCCACCCTGTGCGGCGCGCAAGGATTTCACTTCTGTTCCAAGTGGGTAAATAATCGCACCCCCCAGGGATTCAGACTCGGGAGCTGTCGCTTGACCAAGACCCCGAGCACAGTCGCCCGTGGACACCCTCCTCCCCGATGCCCAAGGCGGGACGGAGGCGCCAAGGCCTCGCTGGCCGGAGCCCCCAAGGGTGCGCACGGTGAGACCCTTGGTTCAGAGGCGTTTCCAGAAACTGGGGCATGTGACGCCGGGAGGGGAACCCCCAGACAAGAGTATTTCACGCAGGAGCCTGGGGGCAGTGACAGCCCTCCGGGGTTACTGCCTCTTTCCACCAGCCTGCCGGAGACCCCACTGCCATTGCCATCACGCCCCTGAGGCCTCCACACTCCGGGGAAGTCCAGGTGCGACCCTGGTAACTCAGAGAATGAGGAGTTGAGGGGGTAACTCCGAGACCCTAAAACACACTCGGACTTGAGAGTGGCGGCTAAGGCTTGAAAGGCGAAGAGGAGCCAGCTGTGTAAGCCTGGCAGATACTGCGGAGGCCCTGAGGGACGGCAGGGGTCAGCCTGGCCAGAGCGGTCAGGACAGTGGGAGGGGCAAGTCCAGAGGCTCCCAGAGCGGGGGCAGGCGGGGAGTCTGCTCTGGCCCAGGGGCAGCTTGTGCCTGGGAGAGTCTGGCCTCGGCCGCGTCCTCCCGGCCCCTCACCTCTCTCCCCACCCCACTCACGTTTCTGGGTCCACGGATGTTGCCTCAAGGTCACCCCTGTTTCCATGGAATCTCTGTGTCTATGTAAATAGCAACTGGCTTGTGTTTTTATTTTATGTGAATTTTTGGGAAAGTAAACTTTGAAGAATGGGCTTCTAAAAGGGAAGCGGTTCCCAAGCCACAGATAAAATCACGGCCGCCAGCCATGGTGAGAGGCCGCCATCGGCCACGACCGGCCGCCCCCGCTCTGGCCCACAACTTCGCAGGAGGCGGGAGGTTGCTGCTTTGCTTTGACCATTTACAGGAACGCAGCATAGTGCCACCAGAGCCTCGCGGTGAGTCACAAGTCCTCGTGAGTCACCCAACGGGGCACCTGCCTGGACACTGGGGACCAGGGCCTGCGACCACCATTCCTGCAGTAGCTGAGTGCTGCCAGGACCCCACAGCTCCACCACCACTGGGAACTCACTCCTCACCACCCCCACACCCGCCC